AGAGAATATAGTGAAACTGTCTCTCCTTGTCTTCAACACTGCAAAAATTAATGTAAAATTAAACAAGCTAAAGTTAGACACTGTAGTGACTTGGAAATACATGACTTCATAATTCTCTGTAAAGCACCATGATGCCTGTCTTGTCACTAAGCATTTAGCTTTGACAGTGGTTCAGCATTGTACCAGTTAACCAAAACACTCACTTTAAAATGCATCTCCTCTGTGGGAGATGACACTGCAGATCTCCAGCTTTGCTGTTGACTAAAAACACTACATAGCTTCACTATATGGACTCCTTTCTTGATGCACAACTGAAATATCCTGTAGTTTTGCTAAGCTTACTTTAGGTTGCCTCATTAATTACCTCTATTAAAATGAGTTGCTCTGTATGTAGCTTAGATGGTGACTTCCAAGGTAGGTTGTTGGTTTGTTTTCTTTTTTGTTGTTGTTTTGTGGGGTTTTTTGTTCATCTTGATTTGCATTTTTTGAGGAAAAAACCCTTGAGTTTTAGATATGAAAACATACATGCAGGCATAGTAAGCAATTAAAACAGATACGCATGTATTTTCTGATGGATTAGGCCTCAATTTTAATATAGAATTGTTTCCTAACAAAGTTTCTGTAGTTAAAAAGTACTCCTAATATGTACACTTACAATATTTTTAATTGTGAAATACTTGGTTTTACATAAAATGGAAAAATGTAATTGCTACTATATAAGTAACTTCATTAAAATATGTAAACAATTAGATGTTGGAATAAGTTGGGACCAGGAATGGGCATTTCAACATACAATTCAAACTAACAGTTCTTTTTCCAGTTTTTTCTTTTGTACATGTTCTTTTTTTTCTCTGGCATTTAAAATCATCTGACCAATATTCCGGGGAAAACCCTTTTGAAACTAACAATTTTTCATACTAATCAGAATTCTGAGTACTAATCCACTATTGATTCTGTGACTATGTATGTGATGTCTTCACTGAGAAAGCACATAAAACTGAAGCACATGGGAATGGGACACTTGGCTCAGATGTTCATGCAATGATGTAAACAGCCCCCTCAGAGTATACATATTTCAAAAATCAGTTAAGATGAAGCAAACAAGTATATGCTGCTTACAGAAGCCCACTGAAGGAAAGGAGTTGCAGAAGCAGACTTGAAGTTATCATTTTTATTAACAAATATTTCAGCTGCAGTGCAGTCTCAGAACAGAGCAAAACACCACTCCGGGCAAGCCAAAATTAGGTCTTGAAGCAGAGATAGAGGAGAAGGCAGGAGAGGCAAAGCTATATAATATTACACTGGGAAGATGAAGGCCATTTTATTGTGTTGCTAGTAGCATTAAAAAAAAAAAAAAAAAAGGAAAAGCTCACAATGCAACTGGCCGTATGGTGGGAATGGATGAAGCATAAGGCTCATATTTCTTGAAAAACAACAAAAGCAGACCAAGCTTAGGTTTGGAAAATCATGGTTGCACAAGGAAAGGAGAAGAAAACACCATGAAAACTGACATTAACAGTGTACAATTGATAGAATGATTCTGTCTCTCGGCTATTCTTTCTCTGTCTGAGCACTAGTGAGATATTGGCACCAAACATTAAATGATCAACTACCTGGGCACCGCAGACAACAGCCTTTTATTTACAGCAAAGAGAAATCATGATCCACGTTACTTACTAGCTCTCAAATGTTACTGCTAAGATCACAAAGATGTAGCATAACATTAAGTTTACAGTTGATTAGCAGAGGAGATCTGTGCAATATGCTTTCTCCAAATCCACTGAAGAGGTTTTTTCCCTCATGTACCTTTAAATTTGAAGTGACAGACTGTATCATGAGAAAGACAGCTAGAAGAAGCCAACTCTTAGAAGTCACAATTCAGAAAACATTGAAGAGATTGGCAAGTGCTTCACCAAACATTTACATTGAACATGAATTGTTGTTCTGATTATGTGTTAATGGCAGTAAGTGAAGAATCATTTTCAAAAACTGTTACTCATTGCCTACCAGCATTTACTTATAATATTTCAAAGCACAGCCTGTGAGTGCAAGGTATTTGTCCCTAAAACAAGCTACCTTTACGAAATGATGCTACAGAAACATAATAACTCATAATTAATCAAAGAAAAAAAACAGGTTTCATAGCTGCTCTTTGCACCTTGCTTTTTTTATCATCATTCATAGCAGGTACATGCAGACTTCTATGGGTAATTACACTGAGGATGTGATTTTGCTATAAACTATCACTGTTTCCACTGATGTCAGGAGAAATGACTATAGCTAAACAAACCTGTCAAGAACTTAACACTAACTCTTACATTACAAACTAGACACACTAAATGCTCAAGTATTTGCATTTGATTCAGTCCAAAACACTGGCTTACTTTCCTGATTAGTGACCGAGACTTTCTCACCTGCTTTCATTTGGGAAAAAATTCAAAGAGTTTTTGGATACTGAGAGGAAAACAAGATATAATGCCTGCAAAATCCTATCTTTTGGGTATGGTTGCAACAGCATTTCCTCTGTCTTACACTCATAGGCGCACTTTACTTGCAGTAGGATAAATATTTTAAATATGTAAGCCTTCACCTATGAATTTTGGCATTATCAACAACCAAAGTAAATTTCCATACTTCTGTGACAGAGAATGAGGATGATTTAACACTCAAACCAGTTTAAAGAAAGATTTAGAAATGAAATACTCAGAGGTATAAAAGCAGAACTGAAATTGGTAGCCAGTGTGAGTAATTCTTGTAACAACACTGTTACAAAGTGCATTATATTAAATTTACTCTGGAAATCAAAAGAATCAACCTACAAACTTTTTTTTTTTCCTGTGTTAATTTTTCACAGTTGTATTGGCATGTATGATTTCTACCTACAAGAGAAGGAATATTGTAACAATATGATGAATTTGTAAGAAAACATACATTTAATTTCAAAAACTCTGCTATAAGAAAGTCCAAAGCAAAAGTTAGACAGCTACTCCAACTAGCCTTATTAATGATGCTTTAGGCTATAGGCCAAGCAGCCAACACAAATTTAGTCCAAGTGGCTTCAAGTTATGCCTCCAGGGTTACAAAGCAAGCAGGAAGTTACCTCTGCTGACAAACAGAACTGATTTATGGTTTAAACCAATCATCCAGGCTCTAGTATGAATGTGTATAAAGTGCTGGTGCTCAATTTTTTTAATTCTTGTTGGACAGCAGATTCCATACCCTCATTGCTCTGTAACACAGGAATGGAAAACAGAAGATCCTTAATTTAATCACATCAAGAACTGGACAGCAATTCAGTAACATAAAGCCTAGTACAAGACAACCAGCTTAAATCTTTCATAACCCAGACAAGGATGCTATAGACCACCTCTTTTTCTCCTTAGAATCTCTCTCCTTAATTTAATTCCCAGATAAACATTTTCGCAAATAAGCTAGAAAAAAAAGCTTAAGACTCACATAAGACATCTGAAACCTACTTCTGATAAAGTAAAAATAATACACCCTTTGCTTTTCATAGTCCACCATGAGTTTATTACAAATGTAACACTGTAACACAATGGAAAGCACATCCATGACAGCAGAGTAGCAAAGTCCTAGGCTACAGCAAGCAAGGACTTGCTCAAACACAATGGCTGTAGGCACAGAAACAAAGGAAATAATCTGCTTACCTTCAAAAGACCTCAGGTAGGCAGGGACCTCCAGCAAGAAACACTCACCTCCTCTGCCAACCCTTAAATGAGGGCTGGGAAGGGGTGCGTCCTGGCTCCACCTTTTCTGGTCACTCAGGTGCATTGCATGCACTGAGCTCCCCAGGTTGGCCTTGCCTTCCCACCAGGTGCTCAATCACTGCTTCAAGCTGTGACTCAGCATTTCTGCTACAACTAACAAATTGCTGCATTTGTTTTTGAGGTTTAACACTCAAATACGAATCAAAGAAACGATAAGCACTGCTAGGATGAGCTCTAACAGCATAGAAATAACTTTAGCAATTTGACTCAGACTACTATTAACACCAGTTTGTAGTTTTGATTTAAAAGAGGAAAAAACACCATGATTGATTGGATAGTTGGACTAACTACTGTAACTGCAATTAACTGAAGTGTGAATAAGGAGGCGGGCAAGAGCTTTCACAGCATTATGAAAATGAATCTGTACTGAGCTATTCAGTGATGCTTTCACTTAGAGTGTCTTGCAACACCTTTACCTAATTGTCCTCGATGAAACGTTGTGGCTTTGTAATGCAGATTTATTAAACTGGAACAACTGACAGCAAATGCTGGTTGTTATAAGTTGAAAAGCTCTGAACTAATTTTATAATTAAGAAATGTTTTCCATTATGCATCCTGTATTATTATACTAGCAGAGGTTAGGAACAACAAAAAGATCCTATGTCTCTTACAGAGCTCTCTTCTAGGATTTTCACATCTTTATCATTATGTTTTCAGGCAGACAGGCACGCTATATAAGCCAGAAGATTTAGTAAAACACAGTCCTTGCTTACATGTAAGTCCATTGTGCACTGCTTTGGTTTTACAGCAAAAGATAGTACTCAGTGCACACTACTGCTGTGATTAAGCAGCCTAGTGTCCAAAGTTTGGGAAAATTTAGGAAAAGAATCCTAATGCAGTTTTAGGTAAGTACACAAAGAACAGCATTTCTTAAAGCTCTAACCTGCAATTAGGAGATTTTGTTCTTCTGCTGGCCCATTCACTGAGGTTAAGCAATGGCTTTTCCTCCATCTCAGTTTCCCCATCTTTAGGAGGGAATGACATTTACTTCCTTTCACAATTTCTTTTCATATATAGAGTCCTTCAATGGAGTATTGTTACTACGAAATACACATCAATTTCAATTCATCATAGATCCATACATCATTGTACTAATAACATGTTTCTGTTCTCCCTGTTGTTACTGAGAGGACACACATTGATATCAGTCAAGCAAAATTAATGTGTGTGTATTTTTACTAAATAATGACTGTAATTTCTTTCTTTGTTTAGGGATAAAATATAACATGGGACTCCAGCAACCAAAAAAAGTAAGTCTCCAGAAGTACATAAGGAGAATTGTATCTCTATTCTGAGTTTGGAGTAAGAATAGAGATGGCTCAGATAACACCACTAGACTAGAGGTGAAGCACTGAAACAGAAATATGCATCAAAGCTTTGCCATTAAGTGCAAATTTTCCTCTTAATCCATGAATTTTATAACCTACTCAACTTTAGCTTTATGAGTTTTTTTCCTAGGCTGGATGTTGCCAAAAGGTACTGTAAACTTCGATTAATATTTTGTGAAATTGCACTGAGCAAAGGAGTGTCTTGAGATGCACTTAAAAATAAGCTAAAGAAAAATCCTGGTGAAATTCCTCCATCTAGTGGCTACTAACACACTCGCAGCAGCAGTGAGTGCCCACAGCAGCTACTCTGTTTCAGGTCAACACCCAGTGCAAAGTAACAACTGCGCTGCTGCCAGCTGTTACCCAAAAGCCACTGCCTATGAAACCAGTGAGACCCGAATGACATCCCTCCATCTCTGTAGCTCCAGCCTGGCCTTCTGGAGGACGAATTACACAGACAGAACACATTCAAATCATGACAGTTTCTCAAAATCTGGAGGTTCTTTGTTACCACGCTGTAAATATCTCAGAAGTCTGAATCTGATAAACATGAAATATCAGCGATATCACAAATAAGTAAAATCAGATTTCTGCCACTATGTGAAGGGTAATAGTTAGAAATAATGTGTCACATCCTGTATTTTACCTGGACAAAAATTTCAATACACATTTGACCACTATAAGCAGCCTCTCAAGATAAGGAGAGAACTATCATTCTCGACAGCTGAATAGATAACATCTTGTGTAACAAATCACCAGTTGCTTTCCCAGCCACAAAACCACCACTACCAGAACAGTCAAAGCTTTCTAGAAGCCTAAGTTCGACAGCACAAAGTACCATAACAAATTGCATAGTACTCCACCGATTTTGTTTCCCATGTGCATACCTTAAAATTCCTGCAATATCTTATTTTTCAAGTCACTTAAATGCTATTAGGGGGCAAATAAAGACTGGAAAATCTGAATTTTATGATTTATAAAACACCTAAATACACATTAAATATTTTTGATAAACAATATACACTGCACAGTTGTATGTGCTTCCTCTGTTGAAATACTCCTTATGGTTCCTATGCCAGTCAGCTCCCAGATGACTCTTCAGAACAGGGCTGACAAGGAGTTCAAGTATATCCAAAACACAATTTCAGCTGTAGAGGCAAAGACTTGTAGACAGGGATTTAATTCAGCTGCTTTGAGAAGCAGGAAGTAGCGGAACACACCCAGGCTGTGTGCCAAGAGGAATATTAGCCAGTGAGATCCACTTAATGAAAGAGAGCAGGTCCCAGAAACTCCTTATCCAGAGACTCACTTTGCTTACTCTGTTCTTACTCTCCTAATCCCATCACAGCTTCATTCTTATCACTTGCTGCTTTTCATCAAGTGAGAATTGCTCTGGTCTCCAAACTCCCCTCACTCCAGGCTCCCCATGCGTCCCTGTTCGTGCTGCTCTCACTCCATCCCTTTCTAATCAACAAAGGCTCCATCTTCCCACTGCAGTTCTTTGTTTCCTTCTTCCCACCCTTTTGCCCTCAACATCCTCACTCCACAAGCCCCATTACCCTTCTTTCCCTGGAAGGCTTCACTCTGGGAACAACTGTCCTCTGTGCAAAAATAACATACTAAGAGAAGGAGTGGGGGACAAAACGTGGAACAGATGTGTGACAACAGGCAGTCCGGAAAAATTAAGTCCTCAAAATATGCTGACATTTCCACCAAAAGAATTTAAAGGGGCAAAAGTCTATCAAAATATGGGCACGGGCACCAAGTAAAATATAGTGAAACCCAAATCTGAACCAGAATTTACCAATTCAGGCTCATATCAGCCTTCAGAATGGGTGTAAGCATAGAGAAAAGTCACCAGCACAGCACAGGCACCAAGGACTTGCAGCAGTGCAATCAGATCTGTACAAATAGATCTACGTTGTGTTGCACAAGCTGCTAATAGTGACAAATAAGTCTCTCATTTAGTAACATCTTTCATCTATTTTTCTATCAGGACTGCGTTTCCAGCAATAACCAGGATAGAAGATTAAGAAAAAGTACTGCAGACGGGGTAGCAACAGTAAAGCTGAGTGGTTCATTACCCTCATCTGAAAACATGCCCTCCAAGCTTCAAAGCATAGACAGAAGGCAAAGCAGCACAGTGTTTATGAAAGATTACCAAGAGAAAGGTGAGGAAACTAATTCAATGAAGCTCCATAAACGGAGGAGGAGGTTTGTAATTAAGAAGAGTCCAATTCTGATTTCTATGAACAGTTCCACTCTCAACTTGCCCACACTTAAATCCGATGACAGAAATAGCAAATGGAAAAGTCTCTACCAGATACAAAGCAAAAGAAAGCAAATAATGAAGGAAACTTGTTCTAAGTACAAGAGTAATAACAGAAGAATAATCACTCCTTACCACGTTTCTAGAATATTTGTAGAAGACAAATACAGAGTTTTATACTGTGAAGTACCAAAAGCTGGCTGCTCTAACTGGAAACGGGTGCTCATGGTTCTCAATGGCCTGGCTTCTTCCACTAAAGATATACAACACAACACAGTGCACTATGGCAACTATCTGAAAAGGCTGGATGGGTTTGATCGCAAAGGAATTTATCACAGGCTCAACACTTACACAAAGATGCTTTTTATTCGGGAACCTTTTGAAAAGCTGGTATCTGCATTTCGGGACAAGTTTGAACATCCAAACAATTACTATCATCCCGTATTTGGAAAAGCCATCATTTCCAGATACCGTGTCAATGCCACCAAAGAAGCATTAAGGACAGGCTCCGGAGTCAAATTTAAAGAGTTCATTCAGTATCTCCTGGATGTACACAGGCCAGTGGGTATGGACATCCACTGGGATCACGTCAATAGGCTTTGCAGCCCATGTCTAATAGATTACGACTTTGTTGGGAAATTTGAAAGTATGGAAGAAGATGCAAACTTTTTCTTGCACCTAATTGGTGCTCCACAAAATTTGACTTTCCCTAAGTTCAAAGATAGGCACTCCAATGAAGAAAGAACTACCACTAAAATCACACAACAGTACTTTGCACAGCTTTCTCCTTCTCAAAGGCAACAAAGTTATGACTTTTACTACATGGATTATTTGATGTTTAACTACTCAAAACCTTTTGAAGATTTATATTGATTTGAGTGCTGGGACACTTCCTATATCAGTTGAACTTCATTACAAACCCAGGTGGCTTCTGTTTATACACACCTGTCTGTTAGTAAGAATTGGTCAAAGAACAGGAAAACAAACCCAAAACAGAACATAAGTGGTTAGTGATGTTTACACCTTCACCTTAAATGCCTCCTTTTTCAAATCATTTATGAAGTGTAAGTACATACGTGTATAATAATACTATATGTCAGGGCTCCCAAATAAAGCACATGATTTTCCATGCTGGTATGGCTTGTGTTTACAGTGGAAGGACACTTTGGAACTGGGGGAACACAGCTGTAAGCTCTACAGCAAATGTAATATTTTAAGTTCTTCACTAGTTAGAAAATGGAATCTTTGGAAATTACGGTGTAGTGAGAACAAATATGGAATAGATATATTTCATCAAAATCTGCAGTGCACCAAACCACACACTGAACAGGCATTATGTATGAAGTTGGTCAAATATTGCTATTTCCTCATAATTTTAATAAAAAGGAAATTATCACACTGTTCAAAAAACACATCAGTGAAAACAATTAATACTCAGTCACCATGCGAGTGCAGTATTAAACCAGATGTTCCAATTCAGAGAGAGGATGCGTTCTCCCCATTTAGTATCTCCCTTATGGCATATTCATCTGCAAGCAGATAAAATGCAGGCGAACATTTGCATCTTTATGCATGTTATTAAGATTCTTTTAATCCTTTGCATTAACATAAATCTCTGGTTTAATCTTTATAGTCACCAAAAATATCAAATCTTTTCTTTATAGTAACAAGTAGGAGTAAATGCAACTTCCTGCCCACCAGGATAGTTCTTTTCTTTGCTGCAAACAATTTGCACTTGTTTATTTTGGTAACAATTAGATTCAATTTCACATGCAGAAAACATTCTAAGTGTTGTCATTCAGCTGTTTCTTTTCTATATAGAGAAGACATTCTCTCATTTTCCAGCAAAAATCTCATGGGAGAATAGAATACTGTACCTTCTGCTGTGCCTTTGTTAACCTTCACACCTACTCTGGATGTGGTATCCTTGTCTACATGTCCTTTAACCATGTGAAATAAATAATAACTTCAACAGTTAAGATGGAAGGCTGTACTGAAACAAGTCTCAAATTCTACAATAATGTTGAACTTAAAATGCCTCAGTAATTTTAAGTTTGTATTTTGCAACCAATTTCAGAATTTCACCAGAACTGGCACTGTACAAGTGTACAGATATCTAAGAGGTTTTTTTCTGAATCATTTTACATTTACAGGTCCAAATACAACAAAAATTACTTATACAAATAGTTTTATGAATCACACACATTTATTAACACCTCGCTTTCCCTACAAAGATCCCACGTTTCTTTGTTGCTCTCAATTTTAATGGAGAAGTGTCGTAGCCTAAAAATAGTTTGCATTGAAAGATTATTGATGTTTCACTTGACTAACATCAAAATTTCATTCCTACAAACATTTTTCACTCAGTGAAGCGCATGTTTTAGAAACTTTCAGAAAGATAACAACTTCCACTGTTCCATGAACCAGTTAGCATCCATCTGCCTTCTGTTCCTCATCATTGTGTCGTTGCTGCAGCCCCCATCCTGCCTTCCATCCACCCAGCTGCCCCATCAGAGGTAACAGACTTTCAGGCAAAGTAACCTTTTTTGCTAGCACCAAACAGGCTGGGGGCTGCTCTGCCAACAGACAGGTGCTGCTGAGAGCTCCTCTCTACAGGTCTCACCGAGGAGTGATCCAGGGAAAAGCAGGTACCTCCGCAGTGCAAGTAGAGGAAAGCACTGATTCTGATAGTGATGGGATTATTATTTGTGTGTGCACAAAGAACACCACCAGTAACTTGAGTTATGCTCTCCTTATCATTTAATTGAGTGCTCTAAAAAGTGATGGTACTCAAATTGGTAGAGTTAATTTGCATGTAGTTAAGGAAGCCACAAACACTCACTATATGAGGAAAGGATATCATGAAGATCTGAGCCCTCGTGGTTATGGAGGTTAATTCCATAATGTGGCCAAGGCAAAGGCTGGATAGAATTTGTATTCAGGCCTTCACTAGTGTTAGAGAGCTCTAGGAAATATTAAGGAACTTAATCTTCCAGCTAGATTCACATCATAGACCTGACTTTCTCCTTCCATTTCCTTTTCCATCACCCTGCTTTTTTTCAGTTTGATCTACACACACACAAACTGATAGAGCCATATGGTCATGTTTACATCTGACAGACTTTTTTGGTAAAGTTGCACAGTGCATTCACTGCCTATGTGGAAAAAAACCAGCAACATCGCACTTCTTATGTCAAGTTCAGGTGCTTATTCTATCCCTCAGCCCCCAGATCTATTTTACTTAAAAATCTTTACTACAGCAATAAAAGCTAACAACTGTGAGAGGAATAAAATTTTTAATGACAAATGAAGATGAAGACTTTGGGAGGGTTTTTATTTTATCTGGACTAACAAATCATCATTTAAAGAGAGGCTTAGGTTATGTGTATGTTTATGGCAAGCTGCATACAGGGAGATGAGCAACTTACTGAGGAAATCTGCCTTTCGAATGATCTAATGTTGTTGGTTTTGACAAAGTAAGAAGGATCCACATACACGGACAGTTTGTACAGCACAGTATATTAATGATTACTTCTGTTGTGCTACCCATTGAGGTAACACTATTACTGACAATAGCAGCATGAGCACACTTGCCACATAAACCTATGTACAATTATCTACTTATTACATGTATATGAAGTACACGTAGAAAAGAAAATCTGTGCTGAAGGTATCTATCAAAAGAAAGATGTTAATATAAGAATCCACATGTGTGAAGAGATATATAAGAATTGCAGAGGATTATAAAAAGAATATAGGGGATATCAAACACGCATTGCCTTATAAGTAGTTTTTCTTTTTTTCTTTGTGTAATAAATGAATTAAGGAGTTAGGCCAGCTCAGGTAGTGCAACATCATCTGGAATTCCAGATTAAAGAAAAGTGAGTTTTCTTGTTTATGTTTTTTATTTATATTTATCATTGCCTATTACTGACACTGGTTACCTTGAATCACTGAGTTGACAGACATTAATTTCTTCGTCCCAGCAAGAAATCACATTGGTAGCTGGGCAAAGTCCAGCCATACACTGGGAAAAGAAACATTACCATGCAAATCGCAGCCTGACCTACTCATTTTAATTTCAGTGGTACCAGAACAACAGCATCTGCATGCAGCAGTAGTTTGTTTTCAGAGCACAACACAAGAGACAGTCACAGCACAGCCAGTTTGAGCTCGCATTGCTTCAAGGGATTATTTTCAGGTTGGCACTGTTATTTGTGATGACTTCAAAACCTCAGCACGTACCCATGCACACTGAACAATGACCCAAGCTTCACATGGAAAGATGGATGTAATTACTTTTCCTCCCAAGAAGGCAGCTGCTGGTTAAGAAAGGTGAGCAATTTCCCTGGCTTTCTGCAATGGTACCTACCAGACAAGCCTACAAACTTCTCAGATGGTTCCCAGCACAATAATGCTGTAAGAATACACTGGAGTCGATGTAACATCTATGTTTAGTACTTAGCTATAGTAGGGACTTACCTGCCACTGGTCCCTTTTGCCCCAATTTTTTCAAGACTACCCATCCAAACAAAGGCATCACAAATTAAACGTGTACCCATGCACACAATGGATTCAAGTTTTAAGAATAGCAGATACACACCAGTTCCACTTTTCAATTAAATTGTGAAGTATTTGAAAGCATTGAATCCTTGGGCAGTAAGGACAAGATAGCGTAGAACATACTGACACATAACAGGATTAAGCTTTGCTTATTGCCAACAAGCTAATGGGATAATAAATTATGAAGCAATTGATACAGTTAACTATGACTCATGCCAGAGAATAAAAATCATGTTTGCTTTATGACTAACCTAATAGAAACATTCAGTCTTGTAAAAAGTATTTTCTTGTCTGTTTCAATGAATGTCTCCGAAACAATGTCTCTTATAAACAACACTTTTGGAAGTTCTATTCCTACACATAACTCATCAGACAACTAATTTGCATGCAGCAAGGAGCATAGATATCCAACGCCTGCCAAACAGACAAGCCTTTAGAAGTAATTTTCCAGGCATTTTAGACTTCATTGAGTTTTACCCCACCATATAAACAAGCTTTTTCCATGTTCTGCAATCCAGTATGGAAAGAAAAAAAAAAAAAAAGAAAAACCTGAGACATTCAACAGAATTGCAGTGATCAATTTTTCTATAACACGCCTGCCTTATAGGAGACTTGAATTCTTCTGTTTAAATTCATCTATTACTGTACTGCTGGCCCTATGTTTCACATTCTGCTTTATAGGACTATCCGTGATCTTTTCTAGCAGTGTCATCATTTTTTCCTGGAGTCTAAAATTATGCTGTCAAGTTATGAAAAATGAAAGAGGCTTTCACAATCCAACTCTTCCACAGTTCTCTTCCCAATCTGGGATTCCTGTCCAGATTTATTTTCACTTAATACAAGAAATTTCCTCTCAACATATCCAAACACAAGTAGTGTCACCAGCTGCAAAAGGTGTTAAGATTAAGTTCAAGTAGAGGGAGCAGCAGCTCGGGAAGCAACAGCCTAAGGCAACTGCATTATAAGAGCTTGTCCCAACCCATTAAACATTAGTGGAGGTGGCTCCTTTGCTAACAAATGAAAGCTCCAGGCTACCGTTCACCTTGGAATTCATGGATATAGACTAATGTACATTATGATCACAAGAAAAAGTTATTTTATTATTGTTTCAAGGGTACATTCAGTCAGCATAACCCCTTCTGGGTATCTGATATAGTCAAGGAGGAGCCACATGACAGTGATGCCAGCCTAGGTATAGATGTGCACACTGAAGACCACAGGGCACAATTTTAGCTATTTCTACGAAAGGTCAAATAGCTGAACTGTTTCTACAATCAATTCACAACAACACCTGTACACCTAGTAGAAGT